AGGACACAGTTTTTCATAACTGACAAAATATACTGGCTCCACAGACATTTAAGCACTTTTAACAAAAAATATTGTTCAGATATACCACCATTTGATAAAGAACCACAGAAGGAAATACAGTACACTGAAAGAGGAAAAAAAATGTTGCTAAGAAATAAAATCTGACTTACAACACTGGGAGGCAGCACTGGGCAACGGTTTCTTCTGGACTTCCTCCTGAAAGGAATACTAAAGGAGGAAAAAAAAACAAAAAACAAACACGGAAAAGTAAGAAAGCACATAGTAGCTTTAAGAAACAGCTTTCAGAGTACAGTATACCACAGACAAGAGAAAATATTCCTGGTAGCCTCGAAGCATTAAATAGTCTCTTCAATATCCATATTCTATCACACTCCCAGAAGTCTCCTCTTTTTTCATGCCAAAAACAAGTGTTAAAAAGTGCACAGCTGGTTAAAGTGAAGTCTGCTTTATTACAAGCACAGGCCCTTATCTCAATTCTGAGACCTCAAATTAGACATCTAAGACACCCGATTTTCCACACCACGAAGTCACTGTGACAGGGAGCTCAGAGCTGCATGTGAGCCTGTTTACAGTTAGACACTCAAGCAACAGCTTCAGCAGTTCAAAATTCATATGGGCTTTGCCCAGCCAACAATTACAAACTCTTTTTTGATCAACTGTGTATCCAAAGCGAAGAATTTTTCACCTCATTTAATATTAAATTAGGGGACATAGAGATACTTGGATCAGCCAGCTTCGACTTTTTACAAAAAAAGCATCAAAGCACTCCCTAGGGGAATGCCAAGGGTTTTATTTTGTTATTCTCCTCTGTCTCATTTTACAGAGATACAAGAAAATTAGGACAATGGAGCGAAATAATGAGAGAAGTCTTTCCTAGGAAAAAAAAAAAGGTCAATCACAAAGGAAGTGGTGACCTTAGTAACCTGGTTGCTGCAATTTGTGCAAAATAGTGCCAGCATACAGACTCTTCCCGGATTCTCTAAGGATTAATGACCAGTCCTTTACATGCAAGGTGAAAACCTGCAGACTTCCACTGTGGCTATCATCTGATCTGAGCTATTTAATATGCACAAGCGACCCTGAAAGGTGCGTATTAGTCTTACCATCAGCAAACTGCCACCTCACTGAGTTAATCAGGACTGTGAAAACAAGAACTGCTGGATCTGGCAGCACTGACTGACTGACAAAGTGGTGAAAGGAAATCCCTTAATGAGCAACTTCAGCAGCACAGGACAGCAAAGGGTTCTGAATTAATACACTCAGAGACCAAATAATTGCAGTAGCTTGTTCTTTTTAAGACATCAGCCCAAAAGCTACCAGCAGTCCCAAAAAGAAAACTGAATATGAAGAGTTTTTAGGAATAAAGTCTGGAAAACATTTCTATGACACCATATAAACTCCAAATGAACTTGCTTCTTGAATACTGCTCTGCACCCATTGCCTTAAACAGAGATACCTGAACTTAATGCAAAGAAAAGGCACAAAGTTATCCTGTACTAAATACCACTATGCAGACTAGGACTTTGCAGCCCCAAAGCCATGCAAGAAGGTGAGGTCTGGAAAGCTGAGTGACAGAGTAGATGGACAAGGACCAGTGATTTAGTTTATCCAAATATGCCTGCCTTCAGCTGGTTTCACAACACAGGGATGTTTGCTCAGACCTAGTTAAAGTATTTCTTCAGGCAAGGCACAATTAAGGTGCTGAACTCCTACAATGTAACTGACATGGGTGCCTCCAAAAGGTCACTGACATCCACAGAAGAAAAATCCACCACCTGTTGTTAAACACAACAATTCTGTCCCTGGCTCTGGAAGTTCCTGAGCTACAAGTCACTGCAAATTACAGGAATATGCAAGGAAGATATCATCCCAACTGGGTCACTGTCAGACACGGGCCAAGATGAGCCTTAGGTCAGGCCCTGCACAGGTGTTCTTACATTTTTTCATTTTCTCACCAGTGGCAGGGAACATCCATAATAAATTTGAGATCACTAGGTCACAAACACTGAGAGTACTCTTATGTTGTGACAGTGTTTGATAAAAGCATGCAGATGGATGGCACTGGAGGAAAGGCCAGCCTCACAAAGCTCAGGGTATCTCTAAGCAAGCATCAGCCCAGTGGAGCACTAGAGGGCACCTCTGCCTCGCTGAAGGACCTGGGCCAGACTGCTGAGATAGTCCCCTGAGCAGGGAGGCACCACATCAGGATGACTGACAGGCCGAACCACAGACTGAGAACAAGGAGGTTCTCCAACTTCTAGGAAAGCAGGAGAGGTTGAACTGAAGCAGTTACGGTTTTATCCTCGCAAATATTGGTCTGTCCTCAACTGAAATGAAAACCTGCCTTATTTTTCTGCATCTGCACAGTAAACCAAATTACTCAAATAAGGGGTGGAAAAGAACAGATGAATAATCCCAGAACAAAAGCCTACTAAAGACACCTGCAGAACGATTTGCAAGTTCTCTTGCTACAGAAAGAGATCTGTATGAGTTCAAGAAAGCATCATGTTCCTAGTCAAATTATGTGGACATAAACACATAAGGGTTTGGTTTTTTAAAATACTACACTTCTGGTACAGGCATTAATATGTCAAATCTTATTTTGCAAGCTGTGTGAACTGTACAGAAAAGTTTTAATCACGCAACTATTCTAATCTTGCAAAAACAATATCAGTTTATAGCTGTTTAGCCAAGTACACAGTAGATAAAACAGGAAACCAAAGCCATGGCTGGCATGTATCATACAAGATTCATAAACTAAGCCATTAGCAACTGGATTAGGAAAAAAGCTAACTGCACCTAGAGTCCTCAGTTACAACAAATATTCAGTACCTTGCATTGTCTTCTTCCCAGAAGCAGCTAACTGCAAAAATGCCCTTTTTGACTTAATTTCACAAATTAAGAGAATTTACCACAGCTTGTCAAAAACATTTTCTCTCTCTCGTGAGGTAAAGCACGATACTGCCTTTCCTTTGTATGCATATCAACAGAACAGTTCTCACTATCCAAGCACTTCCAGCATGCAGAAGACTTAACGCAAACAGTAAACTTAGAAGACTGTTCCGTAAACAGTTCATGGAAGATGTGTAAATGACCAACATTTACTAGTTACCTTAATCACAGGGATCAAATACAACAAGCGAAAGCAAGTTATAAGGCATTCAGGGTTACATTAATCTTTCAGTTTAAATATTTACCTCATCATTTCCTGGTGAATTTATTTGTTCTAATTTTCTTGTCCAGTATCTGGCCTCTTCTTCAGGGATATCTATACCAAAAGAATAAGTCACACCACCTTATTCACTAGGCAAATTTGCATTTATCACTAGTAGCATTAAAACAGGAAGAGCATTCCAAGATTACACCACAAAAAAAACAAACTTAATTTTGAAGCAATAGAACTGTCTTATTTTAGCACTCAGATGGAAAACAAACACTGTAAAAAACAACATGGTTCAAGGGCTTATATTGCTTTAATTTTTAAAGCTGATCAACCAAATGCACACTGCACAAGGGTAGAAAAGAGTAAGACAGACCACTTCCAGTTTAATTCAAGCATTAGTTTTATGAAGAGACATTTTGCAATTATAATAATACTCTTGCTAAATGCTTGCTAACACAAAGGAAGGTTCAGAACCTCTTCTGGAGGCTTTTATAACCTTAAAAGAAAAAGGGTCCTTTTGAATAGCACATCTTATGTACCTGGCATAACACAAATTAAGTACCAAAAAAGAAGTAGTCTCTTATTTTCCTTTGCAGGCAATAAGCCAAATCTTTTGAGGTAATGAACAGGGCTATAGGCAGTCACAGTCACATAAAAGCACACTTCTATTTTTACACCACACTGCAACATCATTGTGAAATCAATCACAACAATCCTTTTAACTTCTACAAGATTTACCAAGTTGATGACTGACAGCAAAAATCAAGCATTATCACATTTTGTTAACCATTTTCTAGTTCACATTTTGAAGTAATAGTGTCCTATATATAGTGTACTAATGCTTTGAAGGGAACAGACTTCTGCTACTCAAAATTTCATCTCTCAAACTGCTGTGGAGAGCTTAACACAAAGCAAGTTAGGTACAAACTATGGTTAAGGAACAAAGCAAGAGGTGAAGGGAATCAAGGGAAATAATCCACTGAAAGAAAAAGCACCAGTCAGGCTCTCAAACCAGAAGAATTAGATAAACTATTCAGGGATAAAGGGTGTAAAATAATTGAAAAGAAGAGAAAAAGCTTTTCTTTTTTTTGTAGCCACTCAATATCCCAGTGACTGTAGAGTGGTTGGTTGGTCTTGCTTCCAAAAAGGGGCAGTGGCTTGTGAAATTTGGCTATTTGTAGCCAAAACTGCACCAACACAGAAACTTCACAGCATGCAAAGTAAGAAGTGGCAGAGGTGGTGACTGCTTCAGCTTGACAGCACCAACCCTGCAAGACTCACCATCACAAACACTGACAAATGAGCACGAGTATAATATCAATTCAGCTAGTTTTTCTATCTCTCATAACTCTTTTACACTCTCAGGAGCCAAGAAGTTTACACCTAAGAAGACTGTTTTCCTGCAATGCCCTGTGCCCCATGAACACAGCTACAATGCTATACTAAACTATGTGTTGGCAAGAATGGGAGAAGTAGGCTGGAATGATCTCCTGAAGAAAGGGTGGTTCTAAAAGTTACATCCACTCTTGCTCCTAAGAGAAACAAGAACAAGACTTATTTGCAGATGAGCATTCCATTGGGACCCAGGATACTTTCAAAAAGGAGCATGTATTGCTTTCTTCTCACACTTAAAGGGGATACCTGTTCTATGTGTGTCCTCTCTCAGCCCATCAACTGTTGTCTTAGGAAGCTAGTGGACATCTGGAGATGGTAGTGACCAGTGTACTAGAACATGAACCACTTTCAACAAGAACAAAGAGCACACCACATGTTGTGTCATTTGACATTTCAGAAGTAGGTTTCTGCTTGGACTACAAAGTAATGTCTGCCCCTTTGTAAGACAAATATCTCTGTATGTTTTTGCAACTGGTCCCAGCCAGACCAGTGGGATAAAAACAGGCCCCACTTGAGAAAGTTTTATAGAACTGGAAACTTGGTATTTGGCTCTAGAAAACCTGCATAAAGTAGGAAAAAAAATATATTTATTTCTCCTTGCTTGAAGGGAAACCAGGAAAATAATTTATTTGAGCTATAATACAAACAGCCAGTTGCTCTTTCTGGTTAACAGTGCATTGCTTTACTGTTATATGCTATTAGAAAACAAGGTAAGAGAAACATGAGACAGCCTTCAACAATTACAGGAGTTGTAGAAAAGCACACATGCTTTTGATCATCAGGGCTGTGGATCACAGCTGCACAGATTTATTAGATAAGCTCCACACAAATTAGAGATGATGGTCAAAGGAAATCTGGACAGCACTGATCTGTAAAGAGGCCATCAATCAAGTGAAGGGCTACTGGCATTCAACCTGATGGATTTTACGAGGACAAGTGCCAACAAAGACCTGAGGCAAACCAAACATTAAAACAAAGCCTATGGAATTCTATCTTTGAAAGCTATTGCTTCTCTGAAAGATTAAGAAAAACTCATGGACTGAGGACTAAAGGTCAGAGTCAAAATTATTTCACTCTGGAGCTTGAGATCAAGACCAAGGAGATCTAGGACAGATGAGGCAATGGATTACCACCAACACTGCAGGAACTGCAGTTGTCTTGGCATAGGCTTCAATGCTTTCCCATAGATTATGGTTTAGCAGCATGCGTCAGCATCAAGGAGAACCATGCGTCTCTTGGATTTGTTTTTCCCACCTTCTGTCCAAGGTGCCCACTTCATAATAGGAGGTATGAAATTTTTGGTGCTGGACTGCTGCTTTCTATTGAAACAGCTTCTTATGCAAGCCAGAGATAAAAATCTGCTACTGTCTCGATACTGGTGACTTTAAAGACACCTCAAGCTTAGACAAACCCTTGTTATCAATATTATTGGCAGGAGAGCTACTGCACAGCAAGCTTTAAACATGGAGCAACCAGTCTATGAATTTGAGTTAGGCTACCTGCTCAGAGAGTAAATGCACAATGAGAAAGATTTCTTATTTTTTTGAGTAAGCTGTTTATAACTATTTTTAAGTTTCACCATCCATTTGTATCTTGCCTCAGGCAGCTGCTTTGCTGAAACTGGTTATTTGGAATGCAGAGAATTGAAATCTCTAATGCTGAGGTCACAGACTGGCTGCTCGTGAGGCCACGTCCACTGGACAGGTCCTACATCATGCTCAGCTATGATTACAAGCCCAAGTTACTTCACTACATCAAGATAAGAAGCTGAACTTGTCCAAACAGAGGCCATCTGATGCCAGCTCAGGACATCATTGACATCATCCTTGGTAAACAAGAGGAGCAAGGCCATACGTCAGTGAAACAAAACTGCTAAACAAGAACTGAGAGGAGATAGGCAGATGTCTTCACTAACTTATCAGATTTCTTAATTCCATAAAAACATGGAAAAGTTGCCAGATTTATTGTCCTTGCTCCTACTGGAAGCTGAACCCCATCTTCTCCTGGTGTCAGGGTGCAGTAAGGTCTGTTTGCCCCCAAAGGGCAGGCTGGCAAGGGAGATCTCGTGGCTGTCAGGGCAGGGGACATGCCAGCACCTGAGCAAGATGAGCAGGGCAGGTGCAGAGATCATGGCCAAGTTCAACCAAGGGTTCAGATCAGCAGGGAGGTCAGTCCATATCTGGGCCTGGATCTATGAGGTCCATAAGTAGGCACAGACATGGTCATGGCTGTGGTGGAGGATCAGTACCTCCTGCAGCATTGCTCAGAAGTGAGGGTTGAGGGCTGAGCTAATGTGGGAATCCTGGCCCACGAGCAGGTGAGGCTGCTCAGAGCAATTATTGGTGCACACAGGGCTGTGACACCTGGACACACTGCACCATCATGGAGATGGGGACAAAGCAGTACAGGGACTTACCAGACTGAGGAAGTAATTAGAGGTAAATTTGCTACACCTATACAGACCACTTCACTCACAGAAAGACCTAAACATTACAGTATTCCCAGTTAGAGATCTCTAGCTTGGCAATAACCAAGGGTTTCAGCCCTAAAGCTTTTCTTCACCTGAGGCTTGGTTGTCCTTGCTCTACTTCTTGCACATCACCTTGTGCCACCTGAGTCTTTTTCCAGGTAGCAAGTCCTTGGCTGGGGCATATCCCAGGTAGGTATGAGCAAGAACAAGTGCTGGAAATAAAATTTATACACTCTCTCTTCCCACTTTTCTACAAGCCTTCACTTGGCTTCCTCTCTTCCCAGCCCAAACGTCTTCCTTTTCCAGAGGTACAGGAATCTTCACAAATTCACTGAAATAAATTTGCAGAGCTAGCAATCCTCTTTCTGTGCAGTTTCCAAGGCAATAAAACAACAAAGCACATTGACTCCACCTGATGGCAGGACTCAGATCAGCATGCTCCCAGTCTGGGAATGGTGAGAACACTAAAAGCATTTTCAGTCCAAATATCTACTGGAAAAACCCTGGCAGTGAACCAAACGGCAATAGTTTGGGAGCCAAAAGCATTTTTGAGTACTTCATCCTGTGAAATACTTGCACATAGCCCATGCACTTTTAAAACAGAGAGACAGACCTTACAACAGCACAATTTTACACTTGATAAGCAGCATCTTGCAAAGTCTGTGCCAGTACACATTCAATACATTAAAAAAATAAGGCCAAGATCTCTCTACCAGCAAATTTTCTAAACCAACCAAGAAAAAAAAGCTGTCTCCCTTCCTTGAAACATCCGACTTGTTCCTGAGAAGAAACAAATGATCAGTGGAGAGAGCTGCTCCAGCATGTCTTCATTAACGACTACTTCCTCCCATCAAGAAGGAAGTTTATTCCCATTTTTTAAATACTACCAAGCATAAAAATGCTTTGTGCCCTTGGGGTTAGTATCAACTCTTACTCTCACCAGCACTTGACATTTCAAATGCTCACGCTTTGCTGAACTGTTATAGAAGAGGATTTTCAGTCATTTTGTTTCTGCAAGATTGAACATTTAAGAAGGCTGGCAGAGAATGTTAGATGACAGTCCAGTCCCCAGCACCACAGTCCTTCATGCACAGAAGCCCACAGCAGAAGGGCCCACAGATCTGGCCACTCCCCTATATATCACAAGCTGATGTCACACTAACAACACGACTGAACGCTAAGCAAGAGCTACATCTGCAATATGCAGTGGGACACAGAGGATATGTCAAGGCCACCATAGTTGTTTTTTGTCCCATTAGAAAGCTGAGTGTTAACAAAGTTTAACTCCTGGATGACCTCAGGAAAGGTTATATCACCAGAAGCAGGGAGCACAACCCTCACAAGCCTCTCGGGAAATTGCTTCATCAGCATTTATTTCAGTTTTAGCTGTTGCTAGTCTCCAGAGTACCAGGAAAAGACATACCAGGGAGAAAGAATCCTGAACATACCAGGTAGAGACAGAAGCAGCAAACTAATCTGGGATAAATATAGTGCAAACAACAAACCAGTTTCTAAACCTCTTTGCAAATGCAATCATGTTTTACACCAAGGAATTGAGTGTTTCTGGTTTTCGAATTTGTCTTTTCTCTCTTACAACCCCTTAAAAACTTCAAGCTCCACCTAAATCCAATGAAACATTATAAACACACAGAGCAAACAGGGGTACTGCATCCACATGCATCATCTAACCTAAATGAAACACAGCAGCCAGAAATTATTTTAAAAAGCACAGAAGCAAGCCAAACAGGAGAAAGCACTGTTTTGTTAAAGATGCTACTCCAGACAGCTGTATTTTACCAGGCATGGAAAGCAGCACAAGCTGTACATGTGCACACATACTGCTCCAGTTCTGGTGTGTAATAGCCAGCAGATCTTCACCTGGGAAATAAAATGTGATACACCATGTTCCTAAATGTCACTGCAAACATGCTGTTATTAAAACATTACCTCTACAGCAACAGAGCTGCTGACTTAAGAACTTATACAGCAGATCAATGATCCATTTAGTTCTCTGTGTAGGTTTAAAGCAGCAGTTCCCAGCTCATAAGACAACAGTCTTAACATGGGGAGTTCATA